CCTGGTAAAAAAATCTCATTTGACCCTGCATATTATACTTAACTTTTGTTTGTTCTCTACTATAGTTGATTACTCAAACATACACAAGTATTGCAGTCTTTTCACAGTACTTGGAATTCGGTCTATGTCATAAACAAAAGTTGCACTGACGTCTTTTAACAGACATCCAAATGATGAAATCACAGTAAAGAAAAACACAAATATGTTGTTATCTTTCAGTTTGAACTTGAGGATAAACCTTGTCCATTGACAGTCTTACACACAACTGTTTGGCCCCTGGCAATGTGTCTAGACAATGTCTGTTGCTTGTTTAAGTTCTGAAAGATATGCACTAAGTACAATGGTCATCAAAAAAAAAGTTCTTCAGAAAAAACAGGTGTAAAGATTTAAAAAAATTTTTAATCTTCTACAAAAAGAAGTTAGGTCTGCTTTGCATATTTTCTTTACACTTTAATAGTAAGAAATTATTGGAAGGCTGCTGGTCACAGCATCATAGCTAAACTGGTCCAGACGCTAGTTATTCACTAGGTCACAACAAGCAGGTACATATGAATAGAAATGAATACTTTAAAAATTACACACAAGAAGGTGGTGGTAATCAGAGTACATTTTTACTTAGCCAAAACCTCAAAAAAAAAAAATTGAAATAAAAGAAAAATACCTAAATGTCTTGTTTTCAACAGCATCACCTGCAACATACTCTAGAGTTCACTCATACTGTGACTACAGTCACATAATCCAGCACAGTTTGTAAATTACTGAGATGGAGACATTTAATGAATTATTATAACACATGTACCCATAGCTGACCAAAACTACAAAGAATGAAGCAAAATTTGGATGAGGTATTTGAGATGCTAAGTCTATTACCTTTGTTATTAGTGGCATACATGGTATCTGTAAAGAGGCACAAATGTGAACTAGAGACTGACTCTTAGAACCAGTATGTACAGTAAATACTTCCATTTATAAAATACTGTGGTGAAAATTAAAAATGTTGCAACCAACAGAAAAGAATTTAAGCCAAAATGAATGTGCTGATTAAAAATCCAACTGTGAAAAAGGGAAAGTATAATAGTAAACAGATACAGATGTATTTTCCTGAGCCAAAGCCACATTCTTGTCAAATAAGAGAACCTTAATGAAAGACTTACCAGTAATGAACCTTGTAGTAGTTTGAGCCACCAGCTTGATTCTGCAGTTGTTTCAACACTTAAAATACTCCTTTATGTCAAATGGATTTACATAAGAAAACAATATAAAAATGGATACAAAGGTCCACGTTCAATTCAAAACCTTTGTATTAAAGTATAACTTTGTAAAGGAAAAAAATAATGAAAGCGTATCTTTTCCTACATGTGCTTTTTCAGTGTCAGCCAACATTTCTTTTTGAACAGTTCTTTAGCTTGGAAAATAAAGAATGATACTTTTTCTTTCAAATGTGAAGGAATATGCCAAGAAAACTTACGAAAAAAGATTTACCTGCTGCAGCCAATACAAGGGGTATTATGTTTCCAACTAGATAATAACTGAGGAACTCTTACTAGAATTTTAGAATTCAAAGGAAAAGATAGTGTACTCTGCATTGCTCTTTTAATCATTCTTGCTCTTCTTCATATACTCAGCTATTTTCCTTAAAACACACACACAGTTGAACTGAGTTTTAAATTTAGTGTAGTGAATACCTTTAAAATAACCTGGTAAATCTGCCTCTCCAGTCCATAACAACCCAACCTACGCTACACCTTCAAATTTTCATTCTTTATAGCTAAGGGAGAATATTCTCACCATCATCAGTACAAAGTTGACAGAGTAAGTTCTTATGATTCTGGAGTATATTCTCAACAACTATGAAGATTTTGTAGCACTACAGACTGTTCTCACAGCTTACATCCTCAAACCTGAACATTGGCTTACTACATAAAGCCTTACAGTCACACTTCTAGTGTGATTACCTACTGGCATCAATAAGAATTTCAGAAGAGCATTACAAGCCATTGGGGTACTAGGAGTGATTGATGAGACAAAAATAATGGTCTTTAAAATCTGATGAAATATTTAATACAAGCAGTATTAATTAAACATCAAAAAAGAAGATGGCAGAGAAAGTATAACACACAGGTTTGAACCTTGCAAATCATTACAGAGAAGCTACTGCACATTATAAGGCTGGTTACAGGTTAGAACACAATTCAAACACATTAAATTCTGCAGTTAAACATTAAGCTGTTAATACACTAACAGCCTTCAATTACTGATTGCTCTTCCACCTTTCAGGGTAATATATTAACAATTATTTCCACTGCATCAATACATGCTCTATCACGTACCATAATCCAGCAGGTAGCATTGAAGCCAACATAACTGGCAGACATGATGGAAAATAAACTATTTTATTGCAACAAATCAAAGATCTATTTATGTCAAAAGTCTCATAAAAAAAAATAAGAAAGACATAGCTTAAAAAAATCTGATTTTTTTTAAAATAGCTTTATCAATCTGGAGTAGTCAGATCATAATTATTTCAACCACAACACAGTAGTTCCAATTCTACCTGCCTTTATATTTTGTTGTCATATGAGATGACATTCATATAGCTGACAATGTCAGAATACAAGGAGCTAAGGCAGCAGGGGTAAAAGATCCATGCCTGCTGCAAAGCATACTCTGTCATAATCCATGCTGGAGCCTAAGTCAAACCATTGTTCTGCCGTCAACAAACACTACTGGAATAAAACAGTATTCTTCTCCTGTGGCTACTCATCCAGACTACATATCACCTGCCTGCCACAGACAGTTAACCTGTCAACTTGCATAGCAGAAGTCTGCATAAAAAAGCTAAGGATTTCATCAGTACATTGCCCATCTAGAAGGGCTGCTGTTGTAAAAATCCAGGCTATTACATATAAAACCACAATAATTTTAAAACCCCAAAGCTAAGACATTAAGATTTTAGAAATGTCAAAATAAAGGTGGACTGGGAAATTTTGATTCTGCTACCTTCTGTGTGTGTCTCTTTACAACACACAGTCTATATATGCATAAAAAGTAAATACATGTTTTCCTTCAGACTAATGAACCATTCAGTACTCAGGGTGAACAACGCTCCAAGAAGCAGTTATGGAGCACTGATGATTTATCCACAGTATACCAACCTCGTTTAGAGAAGGTAGCAGATGTTTAGTCAACATGATAGGGAATTATATTAAGGAAGACTATGCTGTCATGCATCAAAACGTTACTCTCTAGAAAAGAAAGTAGAATCTATCACAGGGTTCCTACTTACATAAGTCATACACCACTTTCCAACCTCCAAGTCATGCAGTTTCCTCAGATGCTGAACAGAGGTTTAAGACAACCCTGTGACTGAAGTTACTGAACTTACTTGGCATGCGTTTGTCCTAAAATTCTTGACCAATTTAAAATTTTTCCTGGAAAATACAGCACTTGGAGTTCTGGCAGGAGCAGGCAGCATAGTTCACGTTAGACATACTCAGTCTCCTTTTTTCCACAGAGTCTTTTAGAAGCAAAATCACAGCTATTCTGCAGTCCAGGTGTACTGTTGCTGCATCCTGCTTCTCAACGCCATCCTTCCTGAAAAGGCCTTGGCCAACCCTCTCCCATCTGACTAGAAACGTTCCCATCAAGTGAGAAGAGCAGGCCCTGATGAAAGACAACAGCTGGGAGAAGGGCTGCTACCATGAACACGGGAACAAACTGAAAATATCTGGATGCTTTTGAGAAAGTTAAGAGCAGCTCACTTCTCAAACAGCAAACAGTCTGCAAAAGGTAAAGAGATCATAGGATCCTGATCTCAGACTACAACCAAAAATTTCAGTAAGGTTATAGTCGTGCCTGCCTTTATTTTCATGGTTCTTTGCTCAAGACATCTTATTTGGAGAAATACTGAAGATTCACACTTGGAGTTGTGATCTAACAATAGTTGAAGACAGTTCTAACAATAAGATAAAGAGGAGGTAATGGGATCCACACTGACATTTTCATCTCAACACATTAGTTGCTAAACATTAAGTAGATGTTCTTTCCAAATATTTAAAGAGCTGAGTAAGGAGGCAGACATGCAGTTTAAAGGAAAGATGGGTGCTGGTAACATCAGCTGACTCAGACCTTGTCTGCAGTAGAAATTCTGGCACTTCATTCTGCCAGTAATGATACACAGAGAGAATCCAGATCTCTCACTGCATTCTCTGAATATAGTAACATTGACCTTATGATGGGCTTCCACAGTAAGTGCTTGAAAGAGTGACTCTGCTCCTGCTGTGAAAACCACTCATTTCAAATTATTCCATGTTGGTAGTTTGTCACAAGTTTTGTTTTTTGCTTTTTTTTCTTTTTTCCTCGTAGCAAAGAAAGAAATACGTTTTCGCAACTCACACCAATACTCTGTAGTCCTACTTTCTAAAGTATCTGGTCAAATTAGTGTTTGTTGTAAACAATGAAGCAAAGTAATCATCAAAAACTTCAGTTTGCGTCATTAGTATTTGCTTTCACTTCCTGTTAAGAAATGGTGTATTTAGTTTGCTTTTCTGGTTCTACGATCGAGACTACTAGTACATTTGGACTGTTCGTTAAAAAAAACAACATTTACATAGCATGAAATTCCATAGACTCATACAAAAGAGTTTATCTGGAAATATTTAAATTTATCCCCAAGATAATACCTTGGCTATGGTCAAGAGTTTGTGACTTACTGTATTGTCTAAAAAACCAGAACTTCTGCACTGCATGCCATCTTCCACAACAACCCAAATCCTGCAAGGTCCTTTAGACAGGTGTATATCTACTACCTGGTAACACAACACACAAAACAACAGTATGCCTAACATCATCTTTCCAAAACATAATCCAGTCAGGTTTAGAAATGGTGGACTTTCAAACTCTTGGAGAAGAGGAGGGCAGGAAAGTCAAAATAGTTACTAAGAACGTTTCAATAATTCATACTCTCTCACAAATACTGTCAACTTAGACATTCATTTTACCTTGAGAAGGTATGTAGGAATATTGCTGAAATCTACAGGCAACTTCAAGAGGAAGCGAGCTGAGAATTCTCCTGTCTGTGGAAAAAAGTTAACACTAATGAGACCTGGTGTCTAAACCAGAACCACAAACTGAACATTCTGAGGATGAAATATTAACCAGAAAAATGTGTAAGAGCTCATACCAAACAGAAGGGTTGAGATTTAAACCAACATTTCTCAATGGAATTACTGAAGAGAAAAAAAATAATTTACAGATTTCACAGATGTTATATGAGAAAACACCTTAAAAACCATAAAACATCATTGCCAGTAAGTCAACAGAAAAAAGTAGTCAGAATACAACAATGTGCATGACAAAAATCAGACTATACTTTGTTAGGCCCTAAATATAGATGTATCTTGGCTGTACTCATTTCCGGAAAAAGGTCTGGCAAGATCTGCAAATGGTCTGAAAGCAAAGCTAAAAACCTGACATTTCTAAGAGTGTATAGATAAAATAGAGGCATCTTCACAAATCTTGCAGGTATACCTAAAAGAATTTGCATTGAATAACATGAGAATGTATCTAAAGTGTCCTCTGAATAATCAGAGGAAGGAACTGAAGTAGAAGGTTTTATATAATTTGTTTTCAGAATTATGTGACTCAACACCTAGACAACCGTTTACTGAAAATTTGCCAAGCGTCCCCTACATGTTGCTCTTTTTTATGCATAAAGTGTATGCAAAGGAAATGGAAAGGATTTCCTTTGTGTTTCGTACACTTCCTTAAAACCAGATTTTATCCACCTGGTTATGAAGCAATGAAGCTCGCTCTTTTTGAAAAACAAATGCCTGCCTGATTTCCTCCATATTAATTTTGTCATCTCTATTTTTTAATTCAATAAAGTAGCCATAGAGCAGCTATATTTGTCATGTTGAATTAGCAGTACAAAAAGCATTAAACATTATTTTTATGCAGTTAGGTAGAAAAAACTAGGATATCTTAAGACAAGGTAGCAAAACTTTCTTCAGTTTTAACACTGCCCTGTTTTTGCATACATACGCTATTTAGTTATGTGATGACATACAATTTTTAAAAAACAGTACTTCATTTTAACAAGCAAGGAGACAAATCAAAGCTGTATGAATATGCAGTATTCGCCCTCCCACAGTAACACACACATACTACTTAACTATTTCGTGAACATAATTATCTGTAATTAATTTTCCTTTTAAATGTTTTGCATAGCCAGACAAAGCAAGAAGAAAAATACTTTAAACAAGAAGTGTACAATACACAAATTTTAACAAAATGTATATGCATCTATGGTGAATGTGCATATTGCAATTCTCATATAAAAGGGTGAATGTAAATACTATACTAGATTTAAACAAGATCATCTTTATTGTGTACACAGCTATACCTTGTAGCAAGGAAAAGTCTGTAATGCATCTGAAATAATGGAAGCATCCTTTCTATGAAATGCAGCAGTGACCCATGGAAGAGATGCAGAGAATCATTGACAATGAAGGTTGCCTGGGACCATGTCCAGATGGCATCTGAGTATCTCTAAGGATCAAGATCCCACAATCTCTGGGCAACCTGTGCCAGTGTTCAGACCCCTCAATATTCAAGGGCTTATAACCTATGCAGATGTCAGCAGGATACATTTTGAGCCACTGCTTTACTACATGTAGTAGATGTTATCACAAGAACTCCACATAGCTATGAGGACAGCTTGCCAATACAGCTCTTCAAGAGGAAAGCATTCAAAGTCACCTGTACTGATACTGAAAATTTGCCATATGCCTTTGCAAAATAGTCAGTACCTTCGCCCCCCCTCTTGATTAGCTGTGCTAATCCATGAATTGCTTTGAGCTCAGCATAAGAGAAAACATGAAGGTTGTCACTGGCCATATACCACCAGACCACAAGCCTCCGTAACAATGGACCACATTAATTGCTATGCATATGGATTCAGAAAGGAACAGGCTGAATAAAATACTGAAGGAAACTGGAGGTCAAAGCCAATGGAAATTGGCTTTCCAAAATGAATGTTAAGCTGCTAAACAGGGCAGCTGAGGAATATAAGTGATTGTTTGCTAAGCACATTATTTTCAGTGGTACTGACATGACATAAAACTGAGAAGGAAAAAATTCTACAGAATTGGATTCCTTCAATCATTTTATGCCTAAATTAAGCAAAGGTTTCACCCCAAGCAACTAAGCACATATAGACAAAGATGCTGTATTAGGCAGATGTACAATAGGCAATGCTAATATCAGTGCCAATTTGTTTCTTTGTCTATGTATTAGGCATGAACTAGAGATAACTCATTCTACCTTCCAGTCACTAAACAAGAAAAAACAAGATCTTGAATACAACAACAAAAAAATCTTTCCAATGGTACCTTGCCACTTATATAATTTGTCAAAAGGGTTTAAGCAATGTTAGGTTGTAATCCACCCTACCGTCACCTAGCTCAAAACTGCCCTTAAAATTTGTCCCTGGTAGTCACAAAATAGAGGCAAAGCAATGGCACATAGAAACACTACACAACAAAAACTGAGCATATATTAAAGCCAGACTCCGAAACCTTCCTGATGTGTCCTGGTTTCAGCTGGGATAGAGTTAATTGTCTTCCTAGCAGCTGGTACAGTGCTATGTTTTGAGTTCAGTATGCAAAGAATGTTGATAACACTGATGTTTTCAGTTGTTGCTAAGTAGTGTTTAGTCTAAAGTCAAGGATTTTTCAGCTTCTCATGCCCAGCCAGGGCGCAAGAAGTTGGCACAGGACATAGCCAGGGCACCTGACCCAAACTGGCCAACGGGGTATTCCATACCATGTGACGCCACATCTAGTGTATCAACTGGAGGGAGTGGGGGCAGGGGATCACCGCTCAGGGACTAGCTGGGTGTCGATCGGTGGGTGGTGGGCAATTGCACTGCGCATCATTTGTACATTCCAATCCTTTTATTATTGCTGTTGTCATTTTATTAGTGTTATCATTATCATTATTAGTTTCTTCTTTTCTGTTCTATTAAACCCTTCTTATCTCAACCCACAAGTTTTACTTCTTTTCCCCATTTTCTCCCCCATCCCACTGAGTGGTGGGGGAGCGAGTGACCAGCTGCATGGTGCTTAGTTGCTGGCTGGGGTTCAACCATGACATGATGACACTACTTGTGAGGATAGATGCCAACTTTCTGATGCTGTATTACTTATGAATGCAGAAAAATCACTGACTTCTTGTGCATGTGTAACACAAAGACTACTCTGATGACAGTCAAGGCACTTGCTTTTTATTTAGAGTGAAATGGATATTATAGACAGTGCTTCTTGTCTGGACTTAACTTCCAAAAAATGCCATACAACATTTGCCATATAGTCCAGAAAATTATTTCTGGTAAAACACAAAGTCTGATGAACTGGGATAGCCACTGAACAGGTGAATGGCCTCTGATCAAATCATCAACTACTCCAAGATGTGGAAGTAAATAAGGACTTGCAATCTAGGTCTTTTGTGTCATTCAATCAAGATTATTTTGAAAAGTATTACTTCCAAGAGTGTTCTGGACAGGCAGGGAACAGTCCCTGTCCATGGTGCTCACCTACATAATCCCAACCAGCTGGTCACAGCATCAGATCAAGTCAGATGAGTTTCTGGCCACAGCACTGAGAGATTAGACAGTTAATGGGCATCTGTATCAGCCGGTAGTCTGCTGGTACTCTGCCAACATGAAGCTACTAAGCTAGATAACAGTTTGTCTATTTGTCATAGATCTTGGAGATCACTTCAGGAAATAGGAGATACTGAAACAAAGGTATAAAAGCAAATTTCTGTTCCATTTTGGGACACAGCACTGAATTTAGGCCTCCTCTTCAAAGTTTTTTAACTCATGCACTTAAAATTATTGCTTTCTTAACACTGTGCAAGGTTCATTCACAGATGATTATTTCAGAAGTCTGCTGAGCTACTATCAATTCCTGAGAGACAGCAACGACATGAATTTCAATGACTTCCAGGCAGAGGACATAACGTGGTTTTACCTCTTGCTTTTCAGATAAACACTCCTATTGTGCTGATCACCAAGCCTAAAAAAAAAACAGTTGTAAAGGACAGGGAGGAGAACTACACAAGTTAATTTCATAGTTTTGAGTTTTAGGACACTCAAACAAGCTTTGTCATGTAGATACCAGGTTCACAGGATCTCCAAACAAGACTCTCAGCATCTTCTTGATAAGAGAATGTAAACTTTGATAACAAAGCACATGCTACAGAAACCTCAAATAGCTCTGCAATGATTAAAAGGATTTGCCTCAAAATGTATTTAAGATTTATTTTATTGGAATATTTTTAACTAAGACAGCATTTCAAATGCAAAAAAAAGTTCTTTATTTAGTCACCAAAAAAATTCAAAAGGTTTGAGTAGATATGGCTTTCCTGTGAAAAAAAAAGAAAAAAAAAAGGAAAACCACCCTAGTTTTCTACAATCTTGAGTAGAATTTTTGGAGCTGCCAAAAATTATGATAAAATCTCAGTACGGTTCAGAAAGCCTTCTGCATTTCACTAAACCAGTCTGATGATATTTACAGATGTGGCAAGTTGTGAGGCAAGTTATTGATAATAACATTTAAGAACAAATTAATTTCAATGAAATATTCTAATCTATAAACATAAAAAGAGATCTGAAATTCTCTGATAAAGAATAATTTACTTAGCTTAAGATAAAAAAGCCTAGATGACTTTTCTAAGAAAAGAAAACCAGATGAATTTAAGTACTGTGAGTTGTAAACATTCTTGTGTCACCTGTAACTTAAGGATGATTAAAGTGACATAAAGCTGAATTCTAGGCCCTGATAACAAAAATCCTGAATCTTCATAGATTTTCAGACTGCATCTATTTCAGAAGATACTGCTTCTGAAGGCCAGTATAGCTTAAGAGGATGCTATTGCTGAAAGCAAGAGGGGGACAGCTTCAGCATAAACACAATCAGATAATTCCTCATATATCTTACTCCAAATTTCCCATGATAAATATACTACCAGTGGAAAAAAAATATTTTTGCGAAGCTTACTTTGTGGCAGAGTTCAGTTAAAAAAAAAATAAAGATCAAATCACACACTAACCAAAATGTCTACATTGCCAACAGCCTCATTTTAGAAGGCTGAGATTGTACACATAGAGAGTTTCTACACAGCATGGCACATTTCCCAGGCAAAGAATACAACTTCAGGAAACAGGTAAGCCAGTTTAATCTCTGATTGTCATATGAAGACATGGCCCTACAAAATCACTGCTCTAACCCATCTCACCTCCTCCCGTCCTCCTGCAACAAATTAGTCGGGTTGGTTTTTTTTCCCCCCTCTCCAGTTTAGGTTCCTGAAACAACTCATCTCAGCTTAGACAAGTGCCAGAGAGATACAGGCAGCTGCAGCTACCAATTAAATCAACTCAGTTGTAATGTAGAACCACACCCTAATACATCCTATCCCTAAGCAGGCTGATTTGCCAACACTGTTATTCTGCCTCTCAAATCTTCACAGCTAACTCAAACTTCCACAAAACATTTTAATGCGCCCTGTAAATACTGCACAGACTTTTCAACAGTTTTCAAAGTTTTCATCTGTGTCAGATGAACTAACATCAGGTTGAAAACCAGGTACTCAACTGGAAATCTGGTTCAACTAAGGTAGTGAAATGACAGCAATGTACAAAACAGGGAGTGTAGAAAGTGAGCTGGAGTCAAATAGAAGCTTTCTCCATTGGAAACAAAGCATAGAGATCCACAGAAACAACCCAGATTTTCCAAGGCAAAAGCTGTATTTATTAAAATGAAAGGATCATGAAAAGCATTTTAGCAGAAACATTCTTAATAGCTTACCCAGTTGTTTTTTCTGCCAGCATAGATTTCCATGTTTTCTCCATACTGGGGCTCTTCAAGTAAAGTCTGATATTCAAACATGAGACGAGAGCTCTCACGTAATCGGCTGCACTGAAATTGGTGATACTGCTGCACAAGCTCTTTCACAACAAGCAGGAGGCATTCAGGGTTTGAAGGATTCCAAGAAGCTAAATTCTGTTGAATTAGAAAAGAATGGAGACCAAAATTGTTTACAGAAATAGAAAGACAAGCACTCCCCCTTCCATACCAATACCAGAAGGACGTACGCACGTGGAAACTTTGTGATGCAAAGATTGTATCACACTTTGGAAGAAAACCAGTTCAAACAGCAAAAGCAAACCTGAATGTCAAATAAGAGTCCATATATGGACCTACCAGAAAACTGATAACAGGGCTACTACCAGGCATAGATAGGCCCAAATTATCATTCTATTCTTCCTTAAAATTATACTGTTGCATTTGAGAACTTGAAAAGTTTTAATTCAAAAAATTAAAACTAATATGAAACATACAGGGATCAGGTAAGTATAACCCTGCACACTATCTGACTCAAAAAGCAGTCATCAAAGTGTATATGCCAAATTAACTACTCTGCTCCATTTTTCAAATAGTGGATATAATATTGACAGTGACAGAGAAAATAGGTTCTCTTCTGTTGCCTCAACCTTGTGCTTTACTTCACCTTGACTGTCTCTTCACTAGAGTTACCTTGACTTATCCCTTTAACAAAAATGCCATCCATACACAAGTCTCTTCAACATGCCTGGCAGAAGTTATTATTAAAAGTTGGCTGTATACCAAGAAACAGTTAACAAATTAAAATGTTAATACATTGAAGATAACTGCGCCAGTAGCACAGTAGCAATGTTATCTCTCAGTTTAACTGCTCTCATTGGCTTAGACCAGTCTTCCATGCACAGTAAGTTTTATTCAGGAAGGTTTTCTGTGTTACAAGCCAATGTATTCTATCAATGTTGCATGCCTGGTTGACCTAGAATGGATCTATGTTAAGGGCAGATGAGGATTCCCCCTGTACTCCATGCTGATAGGACATGAGGAAGTTCTGATGCAAAACTACTTAGGTCCTCAACAGGTCTTCTTGATACAAGTTCAGGGCATGTTAACATAGTCATGTGGCTTTTGGTCAGCTTTGAGTATAAGCAAATGTATATCACATACACATATGACAACAAACTAGCTGCAGCAGGATTTTAAATTACATGGATTGTACAGTTAATGTTAAGATCCTTAGAACTGGCAAAGATGTCTGCATTTTACAACTAAGTGAAGATAAGATATAGTAGCTTCAAATAAAATTACGTATCAGTATCTGAACTCGAAGTAGTTACAGATGGCATGGCTACTTTTGTCCTGGAAGTTGCAGACATTTCATAAACAAATTATATGCATAATTTCCATTCTTCAGCAAGGACAAAAAAACCCATTAGCCCTTTTTACCTCTTCTTTGGAAAAACTGCTTTGGTATGCAACATTTTCTACAATGAAAGGACAGAAAATATTTCTGTACTTTGAAGTAACTATGTTAAGACTGCCTTGCATTCAAACACATAAAAAATTATGTTTCTTAACCTAGGTTAAATAAATGAATGAAACTGAAAAAACCACGTCCCCTAAAATATACAACCTATTCATATTTTGTGTAGCACCAAAACTAATAAATACAAGTGAACAGGTTGCACAGAGAGGTTGTCAAGTCTCTGTCCTTGGAGATACTCAAAACCCGACTGGACAAGGTCCTGGACAGCCTGCTCTATCTGACCCTGCCCAGGCAGGGGGGCTGGACTAGATGATCTCTCAAGGCTCTTTCCAACCTCAGCTATTTTTTGTTTCTATTAAGAGGTTTACAAAAAACTTAAACTGAAACAGAGGATCTTATCAAGGTGAGACTCCATAGTTCTGACCTGAAAAGAAATTATTGAGTTGTGTACAAATTTTATCTTGTGATACTCCGGAAAGGCAGAGAGAAAGCTTAATCAGTTATTCACCAGGCACCATTCCTTCAGCTCTACAATGAAATCTATTTGTAGCCTAATCTCTATGTGGTTATTTCCATTAAAAAGGCTTATAATTTTTATTATTTCTTGATGACTGCAGTTCATGATATATCCCTTTGGAATGGTTTTATACAGACTTCAGCATATGTGTATAATGCCTTAATACTTCAAGCATTTCTCATTCCACAACTTTATATTTGTTGCCCTCTGAAGCCATATATATTAAGATGCTATCAAAATTAATTTCTCATTTTCAGCATCATCACTTAAAACATACAAGTCTAATTTGTCAGTGAAAGTAACATGAAATATGTATTGCTTCCTTGAAAAGCTTTTTTTGGAGGGGGAAAAAAAAAAAATAATGTTTACTAAGGCAATTTTATCTCAAATCTTACCACATGTTGTTTTTCCTGAAGTCCCCAGTCCTGGAGAGGATCATTTTTAAGAGAATCTCAGCTACATTCTACCCATCCCCTCCACCCCTTCTCATTTAAGTTAATAGCTACCAGAGAGGCAAAGAAATCTGTGTATGCACTGCCTACATACTATTAAAAAAGAGACAAAAATAAAAGAAATATAATTTAGAAATAAAATCCTTTTCCTAATCTCATAAACATGGTTTATAGACTACTGTAATGACTTTCAGCAACACGATTCATGATTTTTGAATGACTATGGCTGGCAGTCCTGCATTAACTTTCTATGCATCACTCATTCCTGTGATCAGGATGAAAACCATACACTCCTGTCACACGAAAATGGTTGGGGGGAAACAGTTTGGGAAGGTGGTGCTAATTCTTCAGAAACACAGACGTTGCTCTTGCTTTAATAAAAAAAGAAAAACTTATAATCTTAGAGTGTGGATGGAGCACTTAAGGGAACACTTGACTCTAGCGTACAGATTTGAAAAAGACCTTATGTTTACATAATTTACAGATTGACCCAAGAGTGACAGGCTCAGCTTAAGAAACACAACAGGACATAACTGCTGATCACAATTTGCTTTGTCTTACATGGATGAATGAACGGTTTAATGAACAGTTACACAATTACACTGTCCTCCTATTCTCCTGCTCACTATGATCCTGGTAGAAAGGGCTGCTCAGCACAGCTAAGATCCTTGAACCTTTGCCTTTAGAAGCTACCACAGTGTCAGAGACTTCACATTTGACTGTGGCTTGAAGTAAAAGTGCTCTGGGTTTTTTTTACTCCATGACAGTAAGAAGACCTATAAAATGCGAATATTATCATTGCCATATCTTAAAAGGTAAACTACATTCCGGAGTAATTGGTGAATGGGTGAGATAGTAATGTGGTTCATATAAGTTCCTCAAATACATACCACAGAGTGCCTGAAAGCCTTGTTCTACCTTGTCTGCCACCTACAGCTGGTAAAAATTTATTCCCCACTTGAACCCATTTAAGCTTATCCAATTCTACAAAATATTAGAGAAAATTTGTCAGGTAGACAGCATCGTCTAGGAAACACATTTTGTATCATGCAGTCTGAAAACAGACTGCGTATAACCTAAAATTTCCTGTTCCCAAGCTGCTGCTCAAATAAAGTATTTCCAGAAAGCCAGAGGATGTAATATGCCAGTATGTATTGATATCAGCCAGACAAGTGGGAATAACCTTTCTTCCTAATAACATTGGTATAACACAATAGAAATGTTCTGTCAAAGGAAATGACCAACAATATTTTAACAACTGACCTAAATGCAACCGAACCTTTTGTTTTTTAAATAACATTACACTACAGAACAAAAAAAGAGCAAGAGGAAATCTATTGTCATTTGTCCAGCATGGAGCTAGAGTATTGCTCTCTTCAAAGAATTCAAGAACACTGTATCAAAACAGTGTTTATGCTGTATTGGCTTAAAGCTACAGGAATTAAAATGAACAATTTGATTGTAGTATCCTTACTAAATACCCTTCATGCAGTAACTAAAAATTCAAACAAAGTATGAAGTGGTTATTAAAACAAATCACCTGCAGAAAAATTCAACTACCCACCCAGTACATACATCAATTACAACAGATTCTCACTGACGAAAGAGTAAGCATACAATGGTTACACAAATTTTCTGTAACACAAGTCTTGATTTAAATAAACATTGATTTTTAACTTTAGCATTATATTATTGTAGTGCTTGTTATTTGGCAAATGGCCATTACATTTCTAGTCATTTTGTTAACTTTGCAGAAGTGCTGTTCCTATCAGAAGATCTAAATTTATAAATTTTAACACAAACACTTCTGAATACAATGACATATTACTGTACGAAATTTCTTTTTACATAACTTTGTGTTGCTTATTTGCCCTAAGCACTAGATTCATTCATCTGAAAATACTTTTAAACCATTTTATTGCGATCCAATTTCAACAGTATGTCAAAATACATGCTACATTCTTCCCCCAGTTTCAAACGGTACCTTCTTTTATCTTCCCTCTATTTTTGAAATCAAGGACAAAGTAAGCAACTACCTGTGACATACATTATTGAAACCTAACTAAATCAGAATTTGATGTTTCTCAAGTTGATCCCTTGTAGAATGTCTTAATCGCTACAATTTCAGCATTATAATGATTCTTCTGAGAACATTTTTCTTCTGAAGGATTTGTCACTTTAGTCAATGAGAGTAGTGTCCCTGCAACAGTAAATTGACTTTCTTCTTTAGAGATAAAGGATCTTCTAAATAAAATTTTATTTAGCAATGCAGTATTGTATTCACTATTAGACTTTGGAAATTGTCTTAATTACAAAATCTTAAACTAAAGGCTTTGGAGTGAAAAGAAGGAGTAGTAGCCTGTGCACTTCATTTTCTGATTGTTTGCCTGAAGGCTATATTCCAACCCTAGCCAATACGGCTTTTTAAGAAAGAGTATTTTAAAAAATTTAAAACATTAGAACAGAGGGAGCTTCCAGTGTTTCTGTATTCCATGGCTCCAAGTCTTGCCACAAATCTCGGATCTTGCATAAAAATTATGCTCTGAATGCAACTTCAAAATTTTGAGTTTTAGTTGTTACTGCTTCAGAAAAAAACTGGAAATATGAATACACACATAACCTCATTTTCTACAGCCAGACTGTTGAAGCCTGGCAGGTATGAAAAACCCAATTAAAGAAATAACCAGCAAATATGTATACAGCAAAA